ACCCTGACGACTCCCAAGTCTCCTGTTTCACCTCCAGCAGGATTCGTCCCAACCCCAAAATCCAACCCAATCTCTCCTCCATCTGGATTTGTTCCTACACCGAAACCCACCTCAAAACCATCTACTCTTTCCCCTCCAGCAGGCTTTATTCCTGCTTCAAAACCTTCTCCTATGACTGCTGCTGGATTTGTTCCAACAGCTCCTATCGTTTCTCCACCTTCAGCTCCTATTCCAGATCCCAAAACATTGCCTGTTATCCCCAGTTCTACACCTCCTGTTCCTAAAGCAGCTGCTACCTGTGCTCCAACTTCTGCTGGTAAATCCTACACCCATAACTCCCCAGCCCCCAAAACAGATCCATTTGCTCCTCCTTCAGGGTTCATTCCTACCAATAAACAGATGCCTATGAAGAAACCAGAGGTATTGATCGCGCTGATTACTTGGCTGCATGGATTGCTGTAGTTCACTTAAAGGGTTAGTTCACCCAAAAATTAAAATTAGGCTATGTTTTACTCACCCCAGAGCCATCCTAGGTGTATATGACTTTCTTCTTTCAGACGAATCCAGTCAGAGTTATATTAAAAATGGTCCTGGCTATTCCAAGCTCTATCATTGCAGTCAGCGGGTGTTGCAGTGCTTCAGTCCAAAAGAAGCGCCCATCCATTAAACAAAAGGTAACTTCTGAGCGGCGCATGTGCAACGCCGACCTCATACGTCATCAACCCGAGGGGTGAGTAAAACACAGCCTAATTTTCATTTTTGGGTGAACTAGCCCTTTACCTGTGTGAGGAGTGCACTAATGTGAACGGCGTATACCACTAGTACGAAGATGTTCCACCTTATAGTCTGTATGTAAATGAGCAAGTTGCTCATTTTTGCTGCTGACATTCTCTTTTTTACTAAACATTTTCTCTGCATTTATCCTAGTGGTTTGTGTCTCTCGGAAGTGTGAAACAGCACCCTTCTCGTAAACTTCTTACTCTGTCTCTGAGCTGAGTTGTCTTTCTAGTCTCTTTGGGCTTAATAGATCAGCCCAGGACTTATGGTTCCTGAATGTCACCACTGGAAAACCAACTTTAATGTGCTGATCTTGCAAATTAAGGTGGAGTTGAAGGCCTTTAGTAGATTAAACCACTTCAGAGACCCACAGAGCTATTTACTAGTTTTGATTACTCAAGGTTAGGAGCAACATAAATCTGTGTGGACACTGCATCTTATGGATTGGTTACTGGTTTTGTGTTGGATGGTTGTTTTGGAGTGGTTTGATTGTTGCATTTCAGATCAGAAGAAACTAATTTGTGATTGGTTGCATGGATACTAACTTCAATCCCTTATACAACTTTGTGACTTTGTGTGTGGTTTGGACGTGATATTGGAAGGTGAAGACGATCGTACTTATGCCACCAACTCGAGCAGGGAGACCTTCTCCTGGGAGCATTTGTAAACCCACTCTACCAACCTTGTCCAAAAAGGTGTGTATTTGTGTGTTTTACTAAGATCACACTCTGCAGCAGTTAGATGTCATGCCTGCTCAGCTCTGCAGGAAGGGAATGCAGCATGCTAACATACACATTCGTGACTTTGGTTTCAATCAGGTTCTGTGCAGAGCTTTTACAATTTATCCTTTTGGATAAATTGATGTTGGCTACTACATAACATTACTCAATAACAAAGCTATGTGCATAGTCTGAGTTAGACTCACCTCTTCTTGGTGGTCTGGCCTATAGGAGAGTCCGCCACTGAGTCCCACAGCAGAAACACAGAGGCGGCTGGAGAGGATCTTCGCTGTACCTGTAATCTTCCATCTTCCTCTTGTCTTCATTTATGCTTCCTCATCTTTTTCCTCTGACTCACACTCTCTCTCTCTCTCTCTCTCTCTCTCTGATGCTAAAATGTGCTTTATCCAGACTGTTTTACATGACTCTGACTGCACTGGCTCTAGGCCTATAAATAAAGCACTTTAGAGCTCGACAGCATTTACGCTGACTGAATACTTATGGAGAAACGGTTTAATACACTACATTGTTAATGAGGACATTAATGTGAGCAGAGTGACTACATAGTGCCTTCACATCTAATGGTTATGAAACCCGGTCTCTGTAGAAGCAATTTATGGCTTTATTCCAAACTCTAGTGAACCTGCCTATCTAGACACCATGATGGCAGTTCCAGAAATCTTTCTTAAAAATTGTTTAGACAAAAGTTTTAAACAAGCAAGCCTAAGACAAAAAAATAAACTAAAATGACTTATTTATTTGTATAGTGTTTTGCCCCAATGTTTTCTGATCCATTTTAAACAAAACAAGGGGGGATGACAACAGAAGACAACATTACTCCTGAAAAACATTCAAAAATGTTCTTTCTCATAAAAATATGATACAAATCTTATTTAAAAACTATTTTACCCAACTTTTTATTAATGCTATGTTTGTTTGTTAGTGTAGCATATTGTTAGCTTAGCAACAAATGGTAATGCAAAGCTACAGTACTATTTTTTGTGTTATTTGTATGTTTTGTTTAAGACACCATTGCTGCCCCCATATATAGGGTTTCAATTCAATGCTTTTCGATGCTCCATATTTTTAGGATGCTGCCTTAGAGGTTAGCTGCCTAAGTAGAGAATATACAACAAGGCAACTCACTAGGTTTTGGAATAGAGCTTGTATTGTATTATGTATTTTTTTTCACCATTTCATGCACTTGTAACTTTTGCTGTGTGCTGCAGTACAACTTTAGTATCTAGCCAAGAGGTTTTCATTGGTTCAGGCATGCCCTTCTCACCTCCATGTGCCTGCTGTCCTTTCGTCTGTGGATACATGTCTCATCTCTACCTCTCTCTCTCATCCACCGCTGTCTCTGTGGCTGTGATTGTTTGGCTGGCTGGTCTAGCTGGACCCTGTGGCCAGTGCCTCTGCGTCGTCTCAGGTACAGGGCCCCTCTGGGGACGGCTCTTCCCCTACTGCGCCCCTCCATGGCTTGGCCCGAGTGTGCGCTCATGTGGCCTGTTGGAGTGTAAGCCCTCTGTTCCTCTTTCTAACTCATCCTCACCCTCGTACATGGCTATGTATGCTTTTGTGCTTGTGTTATCAACCAAAAATAGATGCTTACGTTTTTATTAAGGCAAATATGTTGTCAGTTTAGCTAACTGAACCCGATTGTTTCTATATCATATCTTTGATGTAAGGATTGCCTGCTTGTTTATTGTGTATGTATGATAATTTTAAGCCAGTGTTGATGCAGTGCATGGTAACTCAGGGTTAGCTGTAACTGCATGAAACCCTTAGTGTGAGAATTTGCTTCTGCCGCCCCACTGATCAGCTTATAAGTGAGTAGCAGTGGATGTGCTCTCTAATTGGTGAAGACTTTGATTTATGAATATCTCCTTTTGCCTCCTCATGCCTCAAGCTCTGAACATTACCTTATTTATGCATTACCTCATATCACCAACATAGTGTCTTTTATATATCCTTATATCACCTCATTGTGTTAACCATGCTATTGTTAGCATAAATTGTATAATGTTCAGAGATGTTTGTTTCTTTAACTGAATATGTTTTAATTTAATATGTTAATATGTAGTTACTCATACCACGAGGGATTTTAACAAAAAATGTAGCTGTAAAACCGTAGTACATGGGTAAATCTCATGAAAAATGTCTGCCATGTTTGACCAAGGAAAGAAAAAGTATTTATTACATGTAAATATATATATATATTATACATAACTGTTAAAAGCAATACAAATTATTATTATTATTTTTTTAGATTAAATGTAACCTTGTCTTGTTAAATATGACCTGTTCTTGGCAGGTTTCATGAGAGTCTCCCCGGTGAATATTTATTTCATAACCATTACCCCCCAAAGGGTGACCATAGTGCCTTACACTGATATACCACATGATCAATAACCCTTTTTATTCACAGGATGCTTCAGATGCTCTGTGTGTGGAGCTGAGGCAGGATATTAAATTGATAAATGACTGTGTTTGAGAGATGCTCGTTATAAAGTGTTATGATGTCTAACGCTGCTCTTGCCCTCTCATGCTGACCTGCCGTCTCACAGGGACAGGTGGAGGAGGATCCCGTGGCAATCCTAAAGGCAGACCATGCCGCTGCCGCCCATCCTAAGGTCTGCTTTCTGCTGTGTGTGTACCGTAGTTCACCTGCATAATCCCACCCTTGACCTGTCGTGTCAAACTTGCCCTTGTGTTGTGGAGTGTTGTGTTCACACCCATCCCATTTCATCGACAACATCCCAGCCGTAGAGCCGCAATTGAGAGACACACTCAGAGATAGCAAAACAGACAATCTGGCAAATAAAATATGGGTTCATCTAACATTTAATTAGCATTGGATTGTTATTAACAGTGCTGTAGTGTTTTCTACCCTTCCTTCTCATATGCCACTGTACTTGTAGAGTGTACCAGTTTATCTACAATCATAACATCTTATACTAACCAAACACCAGAGAAGAGAAGTTCGTGAACTGGAACACAACTCCATCCTATCAATGGATCACAGATATACTATCTCTCACTGTCAGTTCATGTTCCGACCAGTGTGTGTAGGTCAAGCATGGGTGCAGTGGAAACAGACATGCCCAGACAACCAGAACATCGGGCTTGTAATCTGACCCCGTCCATCATTTGACACCCGAGTTGGTTTCATCTACACCTGCTGTTAAACTCTCCCTATCTTGCATGACAGCCCACAGCATTTTAAGCTTATTTCCCACTGTAGACATTGGGAAACAATGTTTTTTTTTTTGTTTTTTTTTGGACTGATCTGGGGCCTTTGTACTCTAATTGATATTCTGTCAGCAGAGGTCTCAGATCAGGATAAAAAGACAATTTTTGTGTCATTAAATCATAACAGACCTTCTCACATAAGTGTGGACCAATGCATGGAGTGGATTTGAAGCGTATCAGTGATGCTCCTGTTCAAAAGGCCTTTGTAAAGCCATAAATAATGAGTTTGACTGATGTTTTTGTCCTTCACAGGTGAAAACAGAGGAGCAGATAGCTGCAGAGCAAGCATGGTACGGCTCCGAGAAAGTGTGGCTGGTCCACAAGGATGGATTCTCTCTGGGTTAGTACAAAAGCCATGCAAAATTAACTCGAAGCATTATTTTAAATTGAAGACAACAGGAAATGGCATTTTCTTTTCATTTAACTTGCATAATTTGACACATTCCTATGTGAAAATAGAATATTGAGCTAGAGTGGAAGAGAAAGTCATTTCAGAGGCGGAGAACGTTATTGCATTTTGATGAAAGATCATGGAAACATTTTCTCCTTTAGAATATTGTGCACCATTGTTTCGCACACAATAGCACCAGGGACATTTATTAAGAAAGGAAATAGGGTCAATTTTGATTTTATGTAATACCAGTTTTATTACAGTTACAATAAGTGCGTTTTAATTTTGTTTCCGCAATGATGTTGTGTGCAATCAGAAATAAAAACATTCATAGTGTTCTCTGGTGTTCTTTACAGCCACTGTGGTGAAGACTGAGACTGGCAGTCTACCAGAGGGGAAAGTGAAAATCAAACTGGAGCATGATGGGACAGTACTGGACGTGGACGAGGATGACATAGAGAAGGTCAGTTGTCCAGGCTGATTATGTGTTTCAGTATGCACAAACAAAAGATTTTATTCATATTCAAAATGTAATGAAAATTCTCTAAATGCATGTTTTAGATCATATTGTGATCAATTCATTTTTGTGTTTAATTTTTGAAAAAGTTTTTGACCTCATAAACGTAAAAATGTAATCATCGTCATAACTGAACCTTCCGGTGACTTCTCTGTGGTGACATGCAGGTCTTCTCCAATCATTTAGTCCTCTTTAAAGCTTGCCCTTGCAATCTTGTGTTCATCTGCCTCCATATTTTAGTGCAGCGCCCACATCTCAAAATCCAGTCGACGGATAGAACCAGATGTGTTTTCATAGTTTTGTGACTTTAATGTTTTAATTAAAATCAAAATAGAGTTTGTATCTTTAACTATGTTGCTATATGAACAACCAGTAAATAATGATTAGTTTCACAAACCTTAAGTACACAAACATTTCTTGCTTAATTTAGATTTGAAAATGACTTCTCAAAGATTCTAACTGATTCTAACTTTGAAGAGATTCATTAAATGATTTGTCAGACTGATTTAAGGTAGGCCTAGATCCGCTTGTGAGCACTTTTGTGTGATAAATTAGAAGAAACGTCCCAGTCATTTTGTTCATGAAGTGGCTACACTAGTCGTGCTGTGCTGGTTTTTGAGTGCAGCCAGGTAATAGAATAGGAAAAAATGTGCAGTACACATTCTCATCTCATTTCATCACATTCAGTTCAGACTGCACAATCACAACAGAAAACAATGATTCCTTTCACTCTGGTGATGTGGATTCAACAGCAGAATAGCGGTGTATTTTAACGAATCTTCAGGTCTGCAGGGCTCAGGCACAGAGTTTTTTGCAGAGCTCTGCTACTACTTGGCCTGAATCCAGAGCCAAGTGAGGGTTAGACATGCACAGGTGGGTCCTGGGTAACATGCAAAGGGTGGGAGAAGATGCTATTACATAGGTCACAGAGAAACAGGTGGGATTTGGCCTATTTTTTTAAACGGACAGATTGACCTATATAGACACGCATAAAAGTCTAATAGAATTTTCAGAGTTTGCACTATTTAGATCTTGATGAGACATGCTGGGAAATATTTCAGCTCACTTCCTGCCTGGCACAGTCGTTTATTTCGCATACCTCCCGGTGAAGGGCAGCTCTGAGCTGATGATTTCCAGGTTGACCTCAAATCAAATTTTTGAACCATCTGTTCAATGAGAGAATTGCTTAGCTGGATCCAGAGTTGAGCTTGACAAGTTTTACATTGCATTAAAGACTTGGCATGAAGTCTTGAGGCTGTTATGGATGAATCACATCAACTTAAAACCTCTTACTATTTTTTTTTGTCATATTTCCACTCTTCCCATTTATCACCAGTCAGCTTTCTAGCATTCTTTGACCTTTAACATTTTAAATCCTTCAATCCAGGCGAACCCGCCATCATTTGACCGCTGTGAGGACTTGGCAGCTCTGCTCTACCTGAATGAGTCCAGTGTTATGCATTCCCTGCGCCAGCGCTATGGAGGAAACCTCATCCACACATACGCGGGGCCCAACATGGTAATCATCAACCCTACCAGCGCCCCCTCCATGTACTCAGAGAAGGTAAGAGCTCTTGTTTTCTTTCACACTCCTTGCATCCAAATATGCCTACTACTTTATTATATAGCATCCCAATACTCATAAAACAGTTGGCAACAAATACTCACATGACCTCCTAGTTCATCAAATGCATTATATATTCTGACAGTATTCAATTACAGGCGGAATTACTCACTGTGGCAACAATGCAATGCATTATGGCTATTATATTTTATACAACTGTCCCTTCGTCAGTTAAACGCAATAGGAAATTGGCAACTGAAAGCCGCAAATGAGCTTTATTGGATTTCATGCAAGATAAAGTACTACCCATAAAATGTAATTACAATCCAGAAGAGAATTTCTTTCGGTCATCGGTCCTAATTAAGTGATTTTGCATTATGGATCAAGTTGAATATGTGCCATGATGAGTGTTTTCTGCATTCTAAAGCTGAAACTATGATATATGTGAAAATGTTATTGCACTTAGTGCTGGAAAGATGGTTTACGCCAACTTTCTTTTCAAATTAACAGCTATTGATTTTCCCTTCAATGGAAAATGAATATTAATGGGTTTACATTTGAGGCTTTAAGGTTTTCATTATTGACTTTTCTGTTGAACAGAAAATAAACACTGTGTAATACATTAAGATTATTAGATTATTAGTTTGGCCTGTAAGCTCCTTGCTTTTGTTTTCCCAACAATGATCTTCACTAAGCTTGTCCACAGACTTCTGTTTTCTCGGGCAAGAGGCATAAATAAAATGAATGTGTTTGTTTGTTAGAAGTTTATTTTTTCTCTTTGACATTTCAGGTGATGCACATGTTCAAAGGCTGCCGACGAGAAGACACGGCCCCTCATATATATGCAGTGGCTCAATCTGCCTACCGAAACCTTTTGACAACACGACAGGACCAGTCCATCGTGCTGCTGGGAAAGAGCGGCAGTGGCAAGACCACAAACTGCCAGCATTTAGTTCAGTATCTGGTGTCCATCGCCGGCAGCACTGGAAAGATCTTTACTGGTACAGAAACAGGAGCCATACTAATCTCATCTCCTAGCAATTTTAAATGGTTTTCTAGGGATGAACAAAAATTTTGGCTAATGCTGGTGGCCTATAATATTATAAATCAATGCTTGCATACTTTAATAACATAAAGAAATTGTGTTTTTTATTTTTAAGCTACAATCTGACGTTCATTATTTAATTTAATTTAACTTAACTCTTCTGGGCAATTCAAACTGAAATGTGTAAAAGTGCAATCTGGTGTGAAAGCATCAGAATTTCACAATAGAAGTCATTCTTTTTAAAACTGTTCTTTTGTAACCAAGCCTAGAAAAACAAAATACTGTTGAATTGCTAATATTGGCCAGTATAATATGATCATTGGGCATTCCCATTTTTAACTGTGTATTATATCTATGTGCTTGAAAAGCTGGAACAGCCTGTGGTAAAGGGTAAATGGAAGGGTGTCATGCGGTCACTGGAAATGGGCTTGTATAGCGTGGAGAGAGTGTGAGCGCTGGGAAGAGGGTGACAGATGAGGTCTGTGCTAATGATGCCCACTAAAGCACTCTGATAATTAGCCGTCTTCAGGGCCTGCTCAGCCCCTGCTTGGTCAGTAATGACCTAACGAAGACTACAGTGCTCATCAACTATACCATTAAAGAGGCTGTGATGTTATCTACGTATACTCAACTCTGTATGCAGGATCCTCTCTTCGAGTGCGGTCAATGTTAAAGAGTGAGTCCTTTAGTTAAATATTAACGTGTCTCTTCCAGCTGAGAAATGGCAAGCGGTCTACACAATCTTAGAGGCCTTTGGAAACAGTGCCACCTCCATGAACAATAACGCAAGCCGCTTCTCCCAGATCGTCTCGCTGGATTTTGACCAGGCTGGTCAGGTGGCCTCTGCCTCTATCCAGGTTTGTCGATATAGTAGTGGGTCATATCTAAATTATACAAAATGCACATTGTACTAATTTTATGACTTATGGTTAAATGGCAACCCATCATCTAACCACCCACTTCAATCAATAATAATAATCATAAATAAAAATTAGTTTGAATAATTTAATCACTGTATAGTACAATACTGTGCAAAATGGGCAAAAAATAGAATTCCCCTATTGTAATTATATAAACATGTCCATTCTGTTTGTTATGTTTTGTTGATTTTACTAAGATTCATTAATCTCTTTCTTTTATATGTAGACCATGCTGCTGGAGAAGCTGAGGGTGGTGAAACGACCAGAGACGGAGTCCACTTTTAATGTTTTTTATTACATGATGGCTGGAGCAGACAGCACACTCAGGTAAACTCATGATAATTGAATGTAGTGTGCTTTTAAAACAAATGTACTTTTGCTATTGAATTTTTCAGTTATTTTGCCTGGAACCCAACATTTCTGCTCTTAAAAAAGCTTGCACTATTGAAGAAATCTGTAAAATTCCTTGATTATTTAATACCTTGATTGTATTTCAATTTTCCTGCAGAACGGAGTTGCATTTTAACCACTTTGCAGAGAACAGTGCTTTTGGGATTGTGCCTCAAACTAAGGTTAGTTTTGAGTAGATTGAATAGTTTGCCAGAAGCAAAATCATTTTTAAAATGATTTATTAATTTATTGGGCAATGCATACAACAAATAAAATGTGTTTTATTTTATTTCTAATATTCTTTTTTTGTGTGTGTGTGTGTGTGTGTGTGTGTATAAACAGTCTGAGGACAAGCAAAAGGCATCACAACAGTTCACTAAACTGCAGGCAGCTATGAAGGTGCTGGGCATCTCTTCTGATGAACAGAAAGCTCTGTGGCTCATCCTTGGGGCCATATACCACCTTGGAGCTGCGGGGGCCACAAAAGGTAATGCAACGCTCACCCAGTCAGACAGTGTGGTGTTATTGATTTACTTTCAAGAAATCCCAAGTCACCAATAACCCCAGCATATAAACCCTTAGCAAAACATATTTAGAATGTTTAAACGGGTGGTTACAAGTTTCAAAATCAATGTTCTAAAGCAGCGGTTCTTAATACTGTTCCTTGCGTCCGCTGCTCTGCATCTATTTTTCTCTCTCTCTCTTTCTCTCTCATTCAGCTCAGCTCCAACAATGAACTGTTCCAATTATACACTTATTTTCACATAGCTATGAGAAGCGTTAAACATGGACGCACGTGCAGTTGCCGTACTGTATTAAAGCTTTAATCAGGATAAAACCGTATATTAAAAGCTAACATAAGCAGTAGCATTTACAAATAACAGCATATCTAAAAGTATGAGACAACAACAAACAAAAAACATAGGCCTACCATTAAAAGCCGTGCTTGCACAGGTTCTGCACGATCCTCTTCAATAATATCCTCTGCTTCTCAATCGGGCTCAAACTGATAAGCGATATTAACGACGCCGTTGTTTACAATACAACCGGAGCACATGCCACTGAGGTGAGGGGCGGGACATTTAGACCCGCACTATAGGTGGTTTAGCCAATCACAACACACTGGGCTAGCTAACCAATCAGAGCCCATCGCCTATTTCTGAGGGCGGGGCTTCAAAAAACTGGAAAAGATCAGCCTGTTTCTCAGAGAAGGGACAGAGTGGTGTGGAATAAAGGCAAATTATGTGAAAAATAATGCGTTTTTTTAAACGAAGCATTAACACGTTAGACTGCACCCCATAAACACAATCAAGCCTAGAAAAAAACAGTGAACCACCCCTTTAATAGCTTGCTTTGATTCTAAGTCTTCCCCTTTAAGCCCCACACTACTGTCTCTGTGCTAATTTGGCTCACAGAAGCATTTGACAGATTTCTCTTTACACATCAGAACTGGAGAGCTTAAAAAAAAAAAAACGTCTTAATGAGATAACGCGCTCAAAATGCCTAACAAGCACAGAAACAGACTTTATTAATTAAGGCCAACTTACTGTCTGCTTACTGAGCTCAAACAGAGGAGAGACAAGCAGCTCAGGAAACAGTTTGATGTTGAGGAGTTTAGAGATATGTGTTTCTTTAGCTCTAATGAGGATGGGTGGCTTTAATTCACAGTCTATGATATCACTTCCCCCTCATGCATTCAGAGGATGATGTATTAATGAACCTTTTAATCACCAGACTCCAAACTGTACTGTCTACATGCTTTCTCTATTGTCCACAGTCATGGGAAACTCAGAAATTGCTGGGAATATTCAAATTGTGTGTGTGTGTGCACTGGTTTGGGTTGTTTATGAGGACACAAATTTGTATAATGTCATGGGTATGACAGGTATTACAATATGAAGGTGGTTTATGAGGACACTTCCTGTGTCCCTGTAATTCAAAAGGCTTAAAAAATTGTTTTTTTTTTGAAAATCTAAAAAGGTTTTCTGTGAGGGGTAGGTTTAGGTGTAGGGTGATAGAAAATACAGTTTGTACAGTAGAAAAAACAATTACGCCTATGGGGAGTCCCCGTAAACCACCAATACCAACGTGTGTGTGTGTGTTTATCTTATAAAATCATGGGAAATTGCTCTTTTTTTTGTGAGTTAAATTTCTATAAAACTATTTTTTTTTAAATCATTATCCAGTAATTAAATGGTGTGGGAAAGGTGTGTGTGGGCTTGGATTTGAATACATGGCCATATGTCTGTTTTAATTGTATGTGATGTGTACTAGTTTGTTGCTGATATATCGTCACTGCAGTCACTGAATTGCTCAGTATCTGCAGTGGATCCGTTCGTTCTAGTCTGGTACTCTTTCCTGTACCTGCATGCCTCCCATGTGTCTCTTCAGACAAATGCGGGAAAGCTTTATTTCTGGCAGGAGGTACTAATACTGCTTCAGTGTCCTGAGTTGGTACTGAAGACTAACATTACATGTCATCAAACATAATTACTGGTAAAGCTTTTTTTAGCAACATATTTCACCTTCAGGACAGTATATTAAATATTTATATGTCTTGTCACTTAGTTGTACCTGACTGTTCGTACAGCAGGGGGCAGTGTTGTTCTGACTGTATTTTGTTTGGGTATTTACCTTGGCTAAGTCTGTTCTTATTCTTAGTACAGGCAAATAACTGTAAAAAGTGTAAAATAGTTTTTCTAGAACAACAGTCTGATATATACTACCAATCAACTGTGGGGTCAGTAAGAGTTTTTTTAATACTTTTATTTAGCAAGGATGCATTAAGGTGACAGTAAAGACATTTATAATGATTTCCTTTTCACATAAATGCTTTTTAAAAACGTTCTATTCATCAAAGAATTCTGAAAAAAAATATGCATCACAGTTTCTACAACAATATTAAGTTTTAATAAGAAATGTTTCTTGATCACTTATATTACAATAGAAAACATTTCACAAACATTTCACAACATTAATGTTTTTACTGTATTTTTGATCAAATAAAACCTGTACATTTTATTTCAGTTCTTAAGGGTTTGTTGAAAGAAAATACACTTTGAAAAATTATAATAATTATGAATGATTATTACTGTTATTGTAGCTTTTTTAAATATATTTGGTGAAAATGTTGTGCAAATTAAAAATGTACAAAATTAAAAAATAAAATAAAAATCACATTAGATTTAGTCTATTAGTAGTCCTCATATGCTATTATAGCCATTCATTGGCCAGCCATTGGAAAAACATGTATTGGTAGATTACTAATTGAAAACTAATGTGCAATGGAAATGTCAAATGAAAAAGCCAGTAATATTTGTATATGCGAGAGTTTGTGTGCTAACGATTGCATTTTTGGTTCCGTTTGTACAATACTGAAGAATGTCTGTCATGTTCTAACCTGTTCTTCTCTACTTGCATGTTGCATGATGTTGCAAAGCAGAGGCTGATGAAGGTAAAGAGCAAGAATATTATATATCAGCACAACAAGCAAATACCTCATTTGTGTATGTGTGTGTGGTTTTATGCTGTTATCGTAGTTGCCAGACATTTCCATTTGCATTTGCATTATTGTCTTCTTTTCTTTCTTCTTTCATTTCACTGCTGGGCTTCTTTTCTTTCAGAGGTTTATAACAATGACTTAGTCTTGAAGCTTAGATAAAACTTTGGAGGGAATATGTGCGGGTGAGGGAGGGGAGCATCGTAACTTTGTTGTCTTATAAAGCTCAGGCTCTCTGATGTTTCTCCATGTTGTAGACTTTTCATTTCTGCAGTGCTTTTCTGTTGTTAAGCCGCAAACACAAATAAAAAGCCTGTTCGCTCTCAGTTCTTGTTTATTTTTGGCGTTCATCTATTCCACCAGAGGCCTGCGTTGTTTTCCGTCTCTCTCTCTCTCTCTGCGACCTCTTTTGGTTGCGGCAACTTCACTTCAGCTTGTGTGTCACTCTTCTTGTGTATGACTCTGTGGTTAGCTCTGAGGTCAGTCGGAACAATATCTGCTTTTGCGACACATTTGAAAATCCTTTAAAAAAATGTAAAAAGCTGACACATTTTCTGTGATGTCTAAACGTTAAAACTCACAGACATCATCAGACCAATTTTTGACAGTTCTGAAAGTGAGAGTTTTATACAGTCAGTGGTTTTCAATAGTGGTTGTCAAAATTTACATCGAATATCAACAATATGGTACCAAAATAGCTTGTTGAAAAAAAAAAAAAAAATTTTTGATAAAACAATCTAATCTGTTCAAACATATTCAACCAAATACTATTAGAATTTTATTTGATATTTGTATAAATATAAATATAAGAAAATACTTATGTTTATTAATATTATCATGAGGTGTATATGCCCAGCCATATACAAAATAATAATATGACATATATTTACACTAATGTTTTATAATTGTTCCAGCAACCAGTAATCTTGAAACTCATCTTTGTTTCAGTTGAATCCATATTTAATCTAGTCTGGGATGTAGTTTATTTTACCTTCTATAGTTTTGCTCATGATTTTTTGAGGATGAGGACATGTCACACATGGCATCTGCTTAATTTGGCAAGTGTTTACCAAGTAACAGATGGATTTGCATGAAAATACCACAGTGATTGACTGGATGACAAATTTGAATAACAAAATATATGGAAAGAGTTTCTCCTCCCTTCAAAATTGATATTCTAAAAAAGCATAATCAAACAGCATTTTATCATCCATGACCGGAACTAACCTGCAGCCTACTTTAATTCATAATGCACCAGATGAAAACCACTGTTGTTTTTCTTCCAAACTTTCAATATTTGGTTAAAACTGGATCTTTTCTAAAAATCTGTATCCTAAAGCTAATATGACTGTACATTAATGAAATAATCAGCGGAATTGCACAAGACTTCTCTCAGATACCATAAGAGCCCCACAGTCATTAGTGTTGCTTCATTCGACATGGTATTTACATTGTCCCTGTGCATCTCACAGCGGGCCGGAAGCAATTTGCACGTCATGAGTGGGCCCAGAAGGCAGCTTACCTCTTGGGTTGCACCCTAGAAGAGCTCTCGTCTGCTATCTTCAAACACCAGCCCAAAGGAACCTTACAGAGATCCACCTCATTCCGCCAGGGACCAGATGATGTTGGGACAGGAGACAACTCGGGTAAGACTTTTCATAAAACAAGACCTCTGATACAAAGGAATTGTGTTTGCTGGCTTTGGCAGTATTAAAATCTATGTTTTGCCTCACAGCTCCAAAGATCACAGCTCTGGAGTGTCTGGAGGCCATGGCTGCTGGACTCTACTCTGAGCTCTTTACTCTGGTCATCTCACTTGTTAACCGGTAATGTTTGTTACCTCTCATGGTCAGGACAAAAATGTCTGTCTTTTTCCCATTAAGAATGTAAAGATTAGTAGTGGGAGTAGGCTTTTAAATTGCCTACCATACTTCCCAGTTTCATTTGTGAACGAGAAAAAAAGCCTGTATTGTTTGATGAATCTAACCTACATTAAATGTGCATCTGTTGTTTGTTTGTGCTGGTTTAGAGCGCTGAAGTCGAGTCAGCATTCCCTGTGCTCTCTGCTTATTGTGGACACACCAGGATTCCAGAACCCAAAGTTAGCCAAGCGGGACCGTGGCGCCACCTTTGAAGAGCTGTGCCACAACTACACCCAAGAACGTCTCCAAACGCTTTTCCACGAACGCACCTTTGTACAGGAGCTAGAGCGCTACAAGGAGGTGCAGAAATCCATCCCGTTACAACTATCAAATTATTCCTTTTTAAAAAAAAAAAAAATTATAGTCTCAATTCATTTGGGCTATGTCTAGCTGAGTTCAAATGATGTTGATTTTATTACAACCTCAAATTTAATTATGCAGAATTAACATGTTTGTCTAAGCTATCGTAATCAAATGTGCTTACCTTGTTAACACAATCAATAATCAGGCTAAGTACATCTGTAAGCGATGTTCTGGAACTCCCTACAGACTTCCAGTCGGCATGAAATGAAAATTCTGTTCTAATAATTTGTAAATGTATGTTATAGAGCTTATTGTGAACAGTTCATCCATGTATACATTTGATTTGTACTTTTTTTTTATTTGATAATGTTTTATCAAAATGTCATAACTCTTAACTCTCATAACTCTAACTCTTTGGGTGAAAACAACAGAATGTTTGAGTGCAACACCCACATACCCAAAATCCAATTAACAACCAATGGATAGAAAAAAGTTCCCACCCTAATCTGTAACACTTGGGTGTACATAACAATACAGAAGAAAAAAAAATCTGTTGCTACTTCCGTTTCATTGTGATTTTACGGTGTGTTCACAGAATTTGCCTCATAGTGATCTGATTGGCCAGTGCTCATATATTTTTGGCAGTTCACAGAACTTAGGGCTGTCATAGAGACAGGCCTGATATTTCAGGGCACTGAATTCAGTGAGATGTCTGAGTACCATTCCACTCAAATCACTTATAGCACCTTTAATCAAAGGTCTTGAAATTATCAATTTTCATGCTTCAGCCTCTTACTTGGTTTTTTATTTGGCCACGAGGCTGTAAAATAATAGAACAAGAGAAAATATGGTATTAGACACATGAAAAAAAAAAATAGAAACCTTTAACCCAAAATCAGTTTGAAATCGTAGCTGACTAATACTCCCTTTATCCCTGTTTAGGAAAACATAGAGCTTGCATTAGATGACATAGAGTCCAGTACATCACTGTCTGTATCAGCTATAGACCAAGCCTCCACTCAAGCATTGGTAAGCAACTCTTTACTTTCTTTCCTCCTCAGGTTTTTGTAGTGCATCCCAGTCTGTCCCCAAAGGGGCCTTATCTGGAGAATGTGGGCTTTTCAGTTTCAGCAGTGACTTGAATCACTGAGTCTTCCCTCGTCTCTCACACAACGTTGGGGAAAAACGGTTTGACTGCTTGAAAGTTCTACTCAATGACTTTTGTGTCCGTTAGTTTGTCATTTGAGTGCGAACTCAACCTCAGAGTTGTTATCTGTGGCGGCAAGTTATTATATTGTCGTATCTAGCCAGTCGTTGCAGGAGCAGCGTGTCAGGAACGTGGCTTTCTGGGATGTTAATGAGACTGGAGAGGCTGTTCTTTTTCTCTATATGTGTGTGGGTGGGTATTGAGTGGGAAGTGCCCTCCTTCTTTTTAAAGCACAGCGTTCAGCATCTTTGTTAATGAAAGCACTTGTCTGGATCATGCTTAGTAGTCCCTGTTAAATCTGAATCATACTGGAATCAGAGACAGATTTTTAGCTCAGATTTTATTTGTACCTTATATTTGACACTGGAAACTCTGTTTTGACAGCATTTCATCTTGTGTGTGTGTATGTGTATGTATATTTGAACGGTAGTATATATTATTACCAACAGTATATGCTATGTGTTGTTAGTTTAAAACATAACTTTCTTATTGTCATCTTGACTGCACCTGCGTGGACACATGGTACATGCTACTTTTCTCAGCAATATACCAATCACACTCTGCAAGATAGGGCATTTTAATTATTAATTTTCTAGATATTGCTGCAACCAATTTCCATTAGTATGTCATGTCAAGATTGAATTAATAGATTAAAACAGGCATCCTCTGCTTAAAAAAAGGATTTTAGATTAGAATGGGTCAGTGATATGTGACTGATTGCAAAAACGATGACTGTAATTTTTATTTCTGACAAGCTGCTTTGAGTGTCACTAGAAAGTGTTTTGAGTGCCCCCAGTGGTCTCGATCACCAATTACAGTTTTACAACTTGAATAAACACAATTGCCTGTGTAGTCATATAATCTTTTAAGTCTTTTTCTGCTTTTCAAAACTTCAGTAAATTGAAAGAAATTCATAAATTGTCAAATGAGCATTTTAAAAATTAATTAATTGAAAGCACTCTCTAAAACAACCCTGACAGGTTAATTAGCAAATCTGTGTCTGATGAAAATAGTACTGAGGCATAGTGACACGGTCTCATCAGTGTGAAAAGTAATATTTAAAGACAGATTCTGAGCATATTCATAAGCCAACGTAATTGTAAGTTCTTTTCCGCACCGGCCTCATCCACAGTTATTCAGCAGCCTGCAAAGTGTCAGTGCGGTAAAGCAGAACAAGGGAGAAGCCATTACTGGTATTAATTGCTTAAGTAGACAGGCAGAGTGTAAGGTTTAAAAATGCCTGCTTGACTGCCCTGGAGCTCTTACTTAATACAGGCCTTTAATGAGGAGCCCAAGACTAATAGCTCATCTTTTTCCCCCTCGTTTTCTACTCCTCTCTCTTATTCTATAAAGGATAGTAATTGCTTTCATGTAGTGACTAATGTTGTGTTTGAGGTCATTAGCGAAATATGAAATGAAAAGTAAATTAAACAATGCACAGTCTTGATGAATGAAAGGGGCTTGAATTGCGAGTAAACAGCGTTTTTGAGAGAGATTGAGCTTGTTATAGCCAAGATGCAGCATACGCATTAGGGTCTAACGTCTTGTTAGTCTCACTGTTGATTCATGAGAAGAATCTCAGTGGCAAAGAATTTCAAAAAAACGTGGTGTAACCTTGCCAAGAGTGATGACTTGGTAGTGCTTTCATAAGGTTTTAGAGGTCCTTTTCTAATGAGTTAATGCTTTAAAGTGTGGTCACATTCACAAATGTCCTTTATTCTGTGAATTAACCCTATAAAGCCTATTTTATATTTGATATGCAAATTATCAACATGATCAAAACTTTGCTTGAAAACCTGTTGTACACTAGATCTACTAGATGCCTACTTGCTGTGAAATTTATACGGATTTTTATAAAGTAAACGTAAGAATAACTTGAATACAAGACTGAAGCAACTTATGTTCACTTGATTATCAATACATAATTTATTACAAAATTCATGTTAAAATGTGAGTCAAATATGATAAATTAAGCTTTCGAGAAATGTTTATCTGTTCATCTCACAATCATCATTGTATTGTATTGCATTATATGTTTTGCCACCCAAAAATGATCAGAGCTTTGATCATAAAAAAAGATTTGATTTTTCTGACTGTTCATTTATATGTCAGGCTTTACAGGGTTAAACATTAAAAAGTATTTATACTATGGCTCGAAATTGGGGTTGAAACCTAAATCGGCGGCTCGTCCGGGATTTGAATCGGTTTTGTCCCCAGCTCCCTGTTTATATTACGGATGCGTCTACGGTTAGAGTCTAACAAAGTGTTTTTGCATGTCCATGTGATTCAGGTACGGACCTTGGCCAGGACAGATGAGGCGAGGGGCCTGCTGTGGCTGATGGAGGAAGAAGCTCTGCAGCCCGGAGGCTCAGAGGAAACCCTGCTGGAGAGACTCTTCAGTTATTACAGCCCTGTGGACGGAGAGAGCAAAGGTCAGAACACAATACACCTCCCACATGCCCAACCACACACATACTTTAACACATAGACATTTATGTATGAAAAGATCATGCAACCTAAATGCGTCCCTCAGGCCCTGCCCTGCTGCTGAAGAGTGAGAAGGCACATCACTTTCTGTTGGGTCACAGCCATGGGACTGACTGGGTGGAGTATGATGCTCGGGGCTGGTTGAGCCATGCCAAACAGAATCCTGCCTCTCAGAATGCGGCCATATTACTGCAGGACTCTCAGAAGTAAGACCCTTATTATGAAATTAATTACTAATATTTGCCTGCTGGTACAAACATTTAGCGAACTCCATCTCTGTAAGCACTGTGAGTTTGGGTCACTTGTGAAAATGCAGTGAGAATCGTTACTCCATGGTTAAATGTTTGAAAGAGAAGGAATTAAGACAGCCAATAATTTTTTATTAAATATTTATTGATTAAATTTTTTACTTTAAATAATAAATATTTAATTATTTATAAAAAAAAATTACACAATTATTTTAGTTTTTATAGTTTAAATAATAACAAATACATTTGTTATTATTGTTGTTATTATTATTATTATTATTATTATTATTATTATTATTATCATTATTATATAGTAATATTTAATGTTTTTTTTCCCAGTTAACTTGAAGTGTTTTGGTCAAATTAACGTTTACTATATGTTCAGTGTTTGGGAAGCTAGTGTTACTTGTTACTGAAAAAGCAACTGCTGAGATACGATTATGTGTAATGACAACCTTTTTTTGCTTATTTCAAATGTTGCATATTTCACTTGTGGAGGCGTTAAATGATCCAGCTCATTCTGTGTATACTCTGGTCCTTCTCTCTGCAGGAAGAATATCAGCTGCTTGTTTATGGGGCGTTCAGGGGGAGCCACAGTTTTGTCAGGCTCTATTGCTGGGCTTGAGGGCGGATCACAGCTGGCCCTGCGCAGGGCAACAAGCATGAGAAAGACCTTCACCACTGGTGTGGCCGCTGTTAAAAAGAAGTCCCTCTGCATCCAGATTAAACTGCAAGTGGTGAGTACTTCAGATGTGAAAACTACATCCATACATTAATGCATTCAAAACAGCTAGACAGAGAGCAATGAAATGGAACCTTATTATGGACCTCCTTGACTGGAATAAAACATGTAGGGCTCTCAATATGTGTTTTTAAAGATCTTAGAGCTAAAACTAAACTTAATGCTAAAATATGAAGTAGAAAATCTAGATAAACCAGTCACCCTCGTTAATAAGTTATTCATAATCATTTATAACCATTGTGACTAAAGGTCGACAATACAGATTTTTTGATGGCCGATGGAATCTCTTAGAGCAGGGTATCTGATGTCCTATTTAATTTAAAGATGATAAGTCTCTCATGCTGAAATTAAATTTATATTTATTTTACATAATATTTACCAAATTAGAAGTAAATAATTCTAAAATGAACCAATATGAAAAAGTAATTTAATAAGTTGATGAAAAAATAAACCTGTAAAATAATCATTTGTACTTCAGGAAGAGCTGCAAAATAGAAGTCCCGGCACTATCAAAATAAAGGTCCCACTTGCACTTTTCAGCCAAACAGAAAAAAACATATTGGCAGATAATTGACAAATGCCAAATATCAACCACTAATCATGACCCATTAGTGTCAGAAAATCTTATAATATGGTCAAACAGCTTTTCTGAACTTAATGTGACTGTTGTGTTTTCCCGTAGGATGCACTGATAGACACAGTGAGGCGGTCCAGGGTGCACTTCGTGCACTGTCTGCTGCCTAAAGCAGAGATTTCAGCTGGGGATTTGAAGGTACTGGGAGGACCCTCGTCTCGCTCTGGGGAGATAGACGCACATGGAGAAAGCTGTGAAAATGGCCTCATGCAGCTGGATGTGTGCTTGCTCCGGGCGCAGCTCCGTGGCTCCAAACTGCTCGACGCCCTCCGTATCTACCGCCAAGGTTAGAGTTTAAAAAGCAAGGCATTTAAAACATAAGATAAAGACACTGAATGACCCTGGTTATCGATCTGTGACCTTTATTTTGAAGAGAATGTAGAAAAATGTCTGAAAAGAGGAAAGATTTAAAAGTTCAAATTTTCCATGCAGGTTTGACTTTTGCGAATATCGCATTTTTCTCGCAGGGTTTGTTGACCTTTGTAGGGCTTATGTGGCCAGATGCTACGTAGTATTCTAGATGTCATTTTTTTTTCATTCTCGGAGACGTTCATGAGTTTATTTTGTTGAGCAGTCTTTTTGAAAACATTGCAGTGAAATCAGCAAAATGTCACTGGAAACTGTTCTGGCACATTTCAGCCTAAAGCCCTGAGTAAGCAGAACATTCTCAAGATAAGCAACTGACCAATGCCCTCATCATTGCTCTCTGCTGAACCTCCACAGACCTGTAGCTTTCTAGAATCACACATGTCCTTCTCCTGTAATGCTCCTGTCGTTTGGCTCTCCCTTTCCTCAAGGTTATCCCGATCATTTGGTCTTTTCGGAGTTCCGTCGCCGCTTTGATGTGCTGTCTCCCCATCTGACGAAAAAGCATGGGCGGAACTACATCGTAACCGATGAGAGAAGGGTGAGTGTCCTTTTATTTGTGTTTGTGAGTGTGTTGTTTCTCTGAGCGCCGTTTAGCTCCTCCTTCAAGAGTTGCTCTTCCATGTAATTGATTATGACAATGCTCAGGGCAGAGAGCTGTGTTGTTGTACACATCTTTTTCCCCTTAATCTCTGCTCTGCTCTGCTCTGGTGACAGGGCAATAAACGCTTTAATCAGGGTCCAGAGTGACGACTCTATCAGTGGCATTCTGTCCTATCACTGACCCTGCTTCTGTTATTGAGTCTACAAAGACCCGTAATGTCCTAATGTGAACTTCATGTGTATATAAATGGATATATATGTGTGTGAATATGTGCATTTTAATGTATATCCACTGAATATAGGTTTCTCATGACCTTAAATACACTTTGATCTAAAGGTGTATGCTTAAATGCTTTATTAGCTTTTTGACAAATATAAATGGTAATGTATCAAATGGTAATAATCAATTTACTTGACTAAAAAACTTTTTAGCATGAATGGACCAGAGAGTGAACTAAATTTTATTTTATTTTATTTCAGTTTATTAATATGATTAATATTATATGTTATTATATTATGTTATTTATATTATTTTATTTTATTGACCAAAAAGTGAAGGAAAATAATATCAAACATAGTTTAAATTTAATATGATTTGATTTCAAATTATAAAGTTAGTTAAAAATATACAGTGGATTTTATTTTATTCATTTTATAGTATGAATGGACCAGATAGTAAAGGAAAATAATATAAAATATAGTTTTGATTCAGTTTTTTTTTGGTCCCAGTTCCCATACTTCTATTTGTGGTTTGATAACATACTACTTTTGACTGGTACAGTTCCCATACTTCTATTTGTTGTTTGTACTACTTTTGACTGGTACTGTATGTATATTATCTATTTATGCCACAGGTAATAGGTCAGTTACAGGCTCAAATATATGTATCTCATGAGAATGATCTTTGCTCTCATGTTGCTTTAGCTATGTTTTTCAGAGGTCTCCTTTGGTAACTAATTCTCAGCAGATTCCCCAATTAGACCTGTGATCTATCTGTCGCGGCTCAGTCTGAGACGTGGCTTTTGGCTTGTCTCTCACCACTGAACCGGTTCTCCAGACAGCCCCTGTGCCCCTGCAGATAGCACTCAATACCTGCTTGTGCTTTTAGCTCAAACTCTAGCCATTAGTCATCAGTCCACCAAGATTTTTTTAATCCCCTGCCATGTTATTATTTGCCTGACATCTTGTCAGGAAGAAAACACTCATGGGTGAGTGGAAGAGAGGGGTCAGACATTAAGACAGTTGTTTGTGACCCAGTTTCCCCAAGGTGGCTTAGCTTTTGGACAGAAAGAGCACCCCAGACAGCACTCTACTTGGTGCTCTGCTGAGGTGGACGACACACTAGATCTTTATGTCTGTCTCACTGTTTTATACGCGTGTCTGTCTCTCTGTGGGTTTCAGGCAGTCGAAGAGCTGCTGGAGTCTCTTGAGCTGGAAAAAAGCAGTTATCACATGGGCTTGAGCAGGGTAAGTCATACCTCACAATACATGTACTAAACATTAAAAACGATAATATAGCTTATGGTGTTAGACCCAGAAGTGGCTCATTAACTGCAATACTTAAGTTATTCACTCTAGCCAGCAGAGATTTTATGTAATTTAGTTGTCTGGAATTAAATGTTTTAACACGCTAACTAGGACTTCACAATTAATAAAAAGAATAGTTAAGATTGCGATTACGGAAAAGTGTTAATACACATATCATGTCGGTTTACTCCTGTTGCATCTATTTACAATGTGTTTTGTAGCAGCTGAGCATTGTAACCAATCACAGACGTGTCTGTTGATTTTAAGATCGGGGGATTTGAACTCTTGACATCTGGCAACTACAACCTTGAAAGTTTGTGGCTTGAAACACAAATGGCAAATTAAAAAGAGAAGTTTTCAGGATAAATGATCAGCGGGCAAATAACACAGATGATTATGCTTAATAAATCGAGAGAAGCCGAAATTGCGATCATGATTAAAATATGATTTATTGCGCAGCCCTATCTGAACTGAAACAACACTTAACTAATTTTAGCTAAATTATGACACTATTGTCTCTGCACTGTCTTCATTGTTGCATTTCCATAATTGATTCTGCTATTTTCCTGTTTATCACTTTGAAGCTGCTTTGACAAAATCTATTGTATAAAGTTCTATAGAAATAAAGGTGAACTTGACTTGTTGACCGCACGGATGATATGGCCAATCAGTGAGCCAATTTGAGTGCATTTTAAGCCTGTTCCACAGGTGCTTGTTTTCACTTTTGTTCGTGGGACACCAAAAATGAGTCCTGAAACATCACATGGCATAGAATGGAAGCAAAAAGTATTGTTGAACATTTGGAATATGTCATAGAGACAAGATTTGTTTTACATTTAATTCATTGATTATAATGGGAGCATTTGTGTGATTCAGAACTTAGCAGTTTAGTGTGAGCTCACTGACTGTCCATTAATCTAAATTAACAGGGTGTCCGTGGGGTCTTAAAAAGTATTAAAAGTTGATAAATCAATTTAGAGAAAATTAAGGCCCTTAAAAAGTATTAAAAAGTCTTAAATGCCATTTTCCAAGGTATTACATTTTGTATCATCTTTTCATTATGTATATTTGTCCGAATAGTGGGGTTCTGTGTAGTTTATTTATGGAATCCCGCAAGATTTTACGTCATCTGTTACGGCTCTCACTGACTGACTGCGCCGCTGTGTGATAGCGCGGGGCTTGTGGATCCCGCTCTCGCTGAATTTCTGACCATTACCGCATGCTCCACCGCTGCGTCGGGGCTTGTTGATCCAGCTCTCCCTGAATTTCTGACCATTTCAGCATGCTCCCATCCGCTCCCGCAATTTTTGTGTCCGCTCCCGCAAACATTCTAATACTGTATATAATTTTCGCGCATCAGGGCGCCGCCATCAATATGTGGGTTATTTAAATCCCTTTTGAATGAGCGCTCGCAGTCATAGTTCACTTTCGATTCAGCTTGGGATCTGTTGAGGAGCAAATCCTCCAACATCTTGTCAGTTATCTCTCCTTACTTTTAACCCGTGATCAGTCAAATCTGACTTCTTCAGCTCATGTTGGATGCAGGGTTGTTGTTGTTTTCCCCACGAAATTGGGCTGCTTTTAAACTGTTGCCATGGGTTGATTTTCCCCAGTGGGTTAAAGGTTTGAAATATTGCATAAATTACATTTGGTTAAAATGCTTGTACAGAAACATTTTGCATTCTACCCGTGCTAAATGTTTTGGGCCACACTAGTCGGAAACATTTGAGCTGTGTTTATGATAAATGTGCATAACAATGACTGTAAAATATGTATTTTAGAAATGAAAATGACATTTTTATATTTGGGACATGGTAATTGCGCTACTTTGGGCTGTGTTTTTTTTTTACTGGCTTGGGATGCACAATTAAAATGATGTAATAGTTGTGATCATTATTTTACCTTCCATGATCATTCAGACATGATCAGGTGCAGTACTGACACTGTCAAGTCTGCATCTGCATCAAAATCTAAATCTTTTGAATATACTGTGTGAACTCATTGCCCTGTTAGCTCGGAGAGCTTTATTTTCCCTCCTCAGTAAGTTTTGTCAGTTGTTTCGTTTATTGGTCTAATTCTTGTTTCTTGGGTTGCATTGGTTAGTCACTCAATTAATTAATTAGAGAATTCTCTTGTGCTTCTTTCCCCCCTTCTGAATTATGTTGTATTGATAAGGAGTTATCACAAAGTAAGTCTGTTTAGTTGTGCTATCTTACAATAAATATATAGTAAATGTAAGTTAGTGTCGCCGATGTAACCGGTTAAAACTTGGAGTGGTGATGATGAGGTCTTAAAATGTATGGAAAGAGTCTTAAAAAAGGTCTTAAAAGGTATTAAATTGAACTCCATGATTCCTGTATATACCCTGATTAATTACTTCACAATGTCAGGGTTACAAATCGACAGTTGTGTTTTTTTTTTTCATAATCATGAAGCTCTAAAGCATCTAAATATTCAGTCTCTCTATGTTATGGATCAGTGCTTTGAGTTTGTGGAATACAGATTTGGCCTGAGTCACAAGGATCAGTTCCAAACAGATGGCATGATTTCCATTTAGATTGCCGAAACGTTTGCTTCTTCTACACCTCTTAGACACAGACTTTAATCCGCTCTGCTGCTGTGCTCACATCTGGATGGAAAATTCGGCAAGGTGGGCTTCAGCCAAAAAAGACTCGTCGTCTCCTCTCCCATCGTGAAGCACTCTCTGCTCTGGGCCGACGCTTTACCCAGAATGCTAAGCTGCAGATGGGACATGACTGGCACCGTTGGCAGGCCTCATTGGCAGGCGTGTTGGAGCGAGAAAGACAATTATTCTGAGGTTTTCTGAGATCGCATGAGCCAGGCTGGAAGGTTGTGCTATTGCACACTGGGTCTCCCCTAAACTTCGAATGATTAAAGCAGAATTCCTTTTGTGCATCTTCTGTAGACGATAGATTGATTCTGGCGAGGCACCGGCTTGCTTTGTTTGGTTTACTCTGGCTTGGCGCATGACAATAACTCACTACAAACACCAATCAGCCCAACAAGATATTGTGCTTCCAGACAAAGAACAGAAGCCTGGAGAGAGAGCCAAAATAATGACATTCTGATAAATAGCTGATTATATAAATGGGATTGGAGAAAAATGTGTCCAGGAAATACACAAATGATTAGTTGATGGCCATCATTTTAGAATTCTGATAAAGTATAGAGATTCTCACCATTGATTCTATATACAATGGCCATTTTATTTTATTTTATATTTGTAAAATAGTAGGGGTATTATTAACTTGTTTACTTTTTGAAAGAAAGAAATAATTTTTAAACCTAATTAAAGTAAAGGAAAATTAATTTCGTTTGGAGAAAACCTCTAGTTTCATTTGTACAGATTCCACTTAGTTTCATGTTTTGTGTCTAATGCAGTAACATACAGACATGTTTAAATGTGTCCAAATTTTTTTTGAAGTCCGTAGATGTGGACAAGATCCTATGCAATCATGAACTCCCTCCACTGCTTATTGAAAATAGTCATTGTACAGTTGCCACCTTAGTACAATACATCCTCCCAAATCACAGATTCCCCCACCAGACTTGCACACAAGCTCCTCTCTTTGCACTCCTCCATCGCCAGTTGTTTCCCCTTCTCTTCATGAGGAATGTCATTCTCTTGGTCTCCATGGAAAACGCTGCTATTTGACCCCCATGAAAGGACCTTTCCACCATGTGACCTTTGGTGCTCTTGTAGGAAAAGACTGCCGAATCACAGGCCTGCTGGGTGAATGTCATGGGGCGACTTGGCTAACAAGCAGCCTCACTCAGCAGAGACATTTCTGAAAACTATCATCATGCTCTTCAAGTGAATGCTTCCAATAGTCTCTTAGGATGATATAATTCAGTGAAATAGTGTTTCACACATGCTCCCAGACGCTGTGGGTAATGTAGTTGTGAGTATTTTAGCATCTCCACCTAATCTTACATTCGACTCGAGAGGACCATGAATGAAGTTCTCGTTTGGGTGATATCAGGCCTTTTTTGCAGCACATCTTCACTGACATTGAAAAATGAAACTCAATTTTCCCTTGCTACTCTCCTGAGGTGGAGGGTTCCCTCTCTGATATTACACCTGCCTGAAAACAGATAAGTGTAAGTGTGTGTGTGTATTGGCTGCCCAGCAGGTACCTCAGTCCTGATGTTCTAATTTACGGGGTTGTAAAGGGTTGTGGGGAGCGATTCAGGTAAACGTATTGTCCTTTATTTTTATTTGTGGTTCCATTGGGTTGGCAGACCGTGGGGTCTGAAAGCTGTCAAACTTTACATGAATATGGAATCATTTCATAACACTCCATTCTCCCCTATGATCTGATGCTTGGAGCTCCAAGAGATTGCCTCCTGTAATAACAATAACCGAGGCTCTACATCACTGAAAGGCTCTGGCTGCCTTTGATGTCAAAAGGAAGATTATACTGCAGAGCTGCTCCATATAAAGGCTCAATCAAGAGGCATTTGTTGCCATTCCCTCAGATGAGTAGTAATTGCAGCAGTGGACTCTCATCCTCCTTTCTCTCTCTCTCTCTCACTCTCTCTTTCTCTCTCTCTCTCTCTCTCTATATATATATATATATATATCTCAAACCAGTTTCCCAAAGCAGCACTTCTTTCCAGCATAGGCTCTCAGGTACACCCCAGATCTGGTGCGGTTTTAATTAGGATTCTGTTCATCTAGATTAATCCATCTTTAAAACTAATAAAATGCTAATGCAATTAGAACATGTCCACAGAGTTTGATGAATGCACGTCTGGAAAAAACGCAAGGTCCACTTCCCTCAAATTTCTCTGATTAAATGGCCTAATGGATTAGGATTCCGAAGTGTTAATCCAACTTGATTTGACACCCCCACCACAGAGCGGAAAATTACAAGTAAACAGAGCATGGGCAGAGGTTTATAGGAAGTCCTCACACTTTCACACAGGGTGACCGGTTTACAGGAATGGAAAATCTTGACTATGAAACTATATGTGAATATAGTATATTAGTATATTATATA